TCAAGTGATTCTCCTGCCTCAGCCTCCTGAGTAGCTGGGATTACAGGCATTTGCCACCACGCCCCGGCTAATTTTGTATTTTATTAGTAGAGACGGAGTTTCTTCATGTTGGTTAGGCTGGTCTTGAACTCCCGACCTTAGGTGGTCTGCCCGCCTAGGCCTCCCCAAATGCTGGGATTACAGGTGTAAGCCACTGCACCTGGCCTCAGATCATTCTTTTTCTATAGGCCTTCCCTGCTTCGTAGCTGCATGCCACATTGGCACTCGTGGGTGGCACCTGCCAAGGTCACCAGGACTTGGGGATAAAAAGATGAAAGAGAAAGGGAAAATGCTTGCTTTCTCTCCCCATCACACCTTGAGTTTTCACTGAAAGAAGGAAGGGAAATGAGGAATGCCTCTGAAATGAGCAAGTAGTTCTCTTCACCACTCCTAGCTTATACTTCTTTGGAGTGTATCCTGAACCATTGCAACTGCCTTGACCCTCAGAATCTGAGGGAAAATGTCTCATAGCCCTCTGCACACAGGTTTGGCCAAGTTATGACAGAACAAAGACCAGCTTGGCCTTAGGAATGAACCATTCATTTTGATACCATTTGGCAATTAGACCTTTTCTGCAAACATGAGAACAAGTGGTCTGAGGCCCCATATGTACAGGTTTTCTATACTTTTCAGGGCAATCCCAACCTTTGCCAACAGCAGGATTGATCCAGCCTTCCTGTATGACATCTCAGGAGAGGCTGTCAGGGGCAATCTCAGGGAACTAAAGAAACAAACTCCAGAGGTTCCCCCAGCAGAGAAGTCAGTTCCCTCTAGCCCTGCTCATCCAGGTCCACCCTGACCTCCCAATTCAGCTTCAGCCTCTCACTTGCCCCCTCCTAGAATTTCTCACCCTAGACAAGCCCTGGTTTCACTCTTGCTCCTAAAACAGATGCCTGGTAAATTTGTCCCCAGTAAGGTCCAGATCTCCTTCTCCTACAGGGCTTAAAACATATTAAGTGGGATCTTTGAAACTTTTCGGATGACCCTGAAAGACATATAAAGGCTTTCCAGAATTTCATCCAAATATTTGAACTTTCCTGGAGAGACGTTAAGTTACTTTTGAATTAGACCCTGATGGACACTGAGCAGCAAGCCCCTTTGCAGTCAGTAGAGAGATTTGGAAATGAGCTTTGTGTTACCTATAGCATGAGGAAAGGGGGCAAATATTATTCAACTGGAAGAGAAGCAGTACCAGTGAATGACCCTGGATGGGAGTCCAATGATGAGATGGCAGACTGGATAAGGAGACAGTTTCAGGTGTGCATAAGGAACGCTTACATAGGACCAGGACCAGACATCTCAATTATACTAGGGTATCCATGATCAACCAGGGATTTGATGAAATCTCACTGCCTTCTTAGAAAGGCTAAGAGAGGCCTTGGTAAACACACCTCTCTCTCTCCTGATTCAGCCAAGGGACAACTAATCCTAAAGGATAAATTTATTACTCAGGCAGCCCCTGATATCAGGAGGAAGCTTGAGGAACAGGCCCTGGGACCAGACAGTATTTTAGAGAACCTCTTGAAAGTGGCCACCTCGGCCTTTTACAATAAGTCACTGGAATAGATTCTTGAATTCATTATACCCAAGTAAAGACCTAGGAATCTGATGGAGCCACCTCTGTCAACCCAGAAAAGTACCCAAAGTACCAGTGTGAAGAGATCAGAGACCTCAAGCTAAAAATCACAAAAGGTAAGTGTTAATAATTAACCTTCCATGAATATTCTCTTTATAGTCTTGTCTATGCTGCTGTTCTTACCTTTGTTCTGTTCTATAACCACAGGGCACAATAGTGTTTTTAGAATAATTAGTATATTTCACTTTTTATTTCTGACACCTTTGGCACTAAATTCTTTACTAGTATAATACACGTTTTACCCCTGCGTATCTAACCTTATGGAAGTTTTTTTCTTTCTCACACCTAGAGGACATCAAACTCCAAAAAGGTAGGCAACTGAGGCCCTGGACAACGACTCCCCTTTGTCAAGAACCCTTAAGTAGACATCTGGGACGAATCTGACTGCTGTTTTTCTCGAAACAATGCCCCCTATCGGCAGGAAGTAGCTAATACCAGTGGCCATGTATATTCTAATGGCAGTTAGATGTGCCTCTTCAGAGGGGAAAATGATACGGGAGGGGACAGGAAAGGCTGGGTAGAGAATAATAGGGTCCCTTGTGAGGGCTCCATCTTTAGGCCTGTGCTCACAGATCTAAGTGAGAACAGGCCTTCCTGTTTTGGCACCCGAATGTTGCATTTTCCAAGACCACTCTGGCCTGCCATGCCCCCAATTACGTGCCTGTATAAACCTGAGACCTTAGTGGGCACACATACAAGTGACTGAATGTCAAGTGGGGCAGAGGAACAGAGTGGTGGAGAGTGGAGAGTACAGCAGGGCAGCACAGCAGAGGAGGCAAAGGGTGTCTGAACGTCCAGAGGAGTTCAGCCAAGAATGGTCCAACTTCAGAGGAAGATTATCTCCCCGACCTCCACCTTCCCACTCCAGCTCCGCATCCTGCTGGAAGCCACCTCCACTGCTCAATAAAGTCTCTGCATTCATCACCTTTCAAACAGTTCATGTGACCTGATTTATCCAGGACGCTGGACAAGAATCTGGTGGGGTTAACACTCAGCTGTTCCTGAGCAGCAAGGCTAAAAAAGCACAGTAACACACACCCACTTAGGACCTAGCAACTGTCCATCGACATCCTCTCCCTTCTCTCAGGGGTTTGAGCTCTGGGGTGACCAAACAGGCGAGCCACGCCCCTGTCGCACATCCTGTGAGGGGAATCAGAGAACCATTACTTTATCATCAGCATAATTCAAGACAAAATGGTAATGAAAATCAACATTGATTAGTGAAACGACAATTATCTATTCCCTGGTAATCATTTTCACTCCCACCCAACATGAAAGCTGCATCTCTGTGTCATCTCTCCCAGTTGTAAAAAAGATGATTCTGATCAAATTCATAGGCATACAATTTTTTGACTTTTTTAGTCTGAAAATTTAACTGATCTCTTACCAAAAAAGTTGATATTTTACATTTATTATTTTACTCTAGTCTATTAAATTTTTTAGAAAACCGAATCTGACAAAGCATACATTTAAAAACTTTTTGAAAATTAAAAATACTTATACTTTTCTTATAGAAACTAAAACTAAAAACAATTTTAGATTCTTAGACAGCGTCTCTCAAATACTTCAAGTTATATGCCTCTAATAATAGATACTTATTTTTTATTTTGCTGTGATACAGTTTGACTGTCCTTTGTATCAAACTACATCATTTCTATTCTATTTTGTTGTGCATTATTTATGTTATGCATTTTATATTTTAAAAGCTGTAGTCCAGGCCAGGCACAGTGACTCATGCCTGTAATCCCAGGACTTTGGGAGGCTGAGGCAGGCAGATCACTTGAGATCAGAAGTTTGAGACCAGCCTGGCCAACATAGCAAAATCACGTCTCTACTAAAAATACAAGAAAATTAGCTGGGCATGGTGGTGCACGCCTGTAGTCCTAGCTACTTGGGAGGTTGAGACACAAGAATCGCTTGAGCCTGATTGGCAGAGGTTGCAGTGAGCCAAGATTGCACCACTGCACTCCAGCCTGGGTGACAGAGTGAGACTCCATCTCAAAAAAAAGAAAAAGACTAACTCAAAAGTGAAGAAGCTTGGCAGTCGCCACCTTAAGCAAGTGATCAAAGTGAATATCATTAGAAATAGAATAAATCAAAATCTGCCCCATGTAATAGAATACAATGAGTAGAAAATGGCATCCCTTCTGTTATTCCTGCCAACGATGCATATCTGAATCTAATGGAAAGGAAACGGACAAATGCAGATCAAGACACACACCACAAAACAACTGGCCTGTCACCTCCAAACATGACATGGGTGTAAGTCACAGAAGCACCAAGGAACTCTTCCAGACTGAAGAAGACAGCAGACGCAGGCAACTAAATGCAATGCATGATTCTCAGCTGGGTTCTTTTGCTAGAAGGGACAATATTGAGACTATTGGTGAAACATATATGGGACCTGAGGATTGCATGGCAGGAACACAACATCAATCCCCTGATTTAGTGGTTGCATTGTGGCTATGCAGGAGAATGTCCTGTTTGTAAGAAATGTACACCAAAGCTTTAGGGGTGACGGGACAACAGGTTGGCAATTGACCCTCAAATGGGTCAAGAAAAAAGTTCTTTGTACTGTACCTGCAACCTTTCTACAAGTTGATTATTGTTTCAGAATGATTATTACAAACATTTATTTTAAAAAAATTATTTTTAAAATGACATTTTGAATGTCAAAGGATGAGAAATTCTTGACAAAACTGATGAAATCTTAAAATGCTTCTGCAAATCAGGCCTCAGAAGTCACACCTGATAGAAGTGACATACACTGTGTATAAAAATCTCAAACACTGGGCCGGGCGTGGTGGCTCACGCCTGTAATCCCAGCACTTTGGGAAGCCGAGGCAGGCAGATCACAAGGTCAGGAGATCGAGACCATCCTGGCTAACATGGTGAAACCCCGTCTCTACCGAAAATACAAAAATTAGCTGGGCATGGTGGTGGGCGCCTGTAATCCCAGCTACTCGGGAGGCTGAGGCAGGACGTGAATCCGGGAGGTGGAGTTTGCAGTGAGCTGAGATCGCGCCACTGCACTCCAGCCTCGGCGACAGAGCAAGACTCCGTCTCAAAAAAAAAAAAAAAAAAAAAAAAAGCTAACACCCTCTGCGGCGGGCTTGGCTCAGTTCAGGGAGGAAGCCCTACCTGAAAAGGCTGCACCTTCGGCTGTCACTCTTTCCTCATTCAGCCCAACGTTTGGTTACATCTTCTGTCACTCAGGGCCTGAGGGCGCGGTCTTAAACGTTATCCATTCAGCGACGCTGGCCTGGGAACCGTCCAATCAGGCACGCAGGTGGAGCGGAAATGGCGGTGTCCGGGATGTGGCGGGGTCTTTGTCTCTGGCTGCAGTCCGAGTGCCTGGTCTAGTCTTTGCTGTTCTGCGTCCTGTTCTCCTAGAGACCCAGCCTCTGTGGCCCTGTGACTTGCAGGTATTGGAGAACCACAGCTAAGACGCCAGGACCCCCAGAAGCCTAGAAATGGTGAGAGTTCCGGGTCCGACATCCCGAGAGAGGGGAGGGGGCTGGTTGGAACCGGTGGCAAGAGGCTGTGGCGGGACTCAGGCCTCCCCGCAGTCGGCTTCACAATCTGCGCCCCGAATTCTCCTTGCCCAGCCCGGCCTTAGTCCCCTTCAGCCATCAGATTGGTGGCTGCGCTGGCAGCCGGGCGCCCGGGCGTCCTGTCTCTTCCCTGCGCAGTGACTGTGCCCTGGCCTGGAGCCCTTTCTCGGCAGCTCTGCATCCGTAGTGCCACGTCTCTCCCAGATTGTGCAGGGACCACGGGAGGGTGGTCAGGGGACAATCCTGACTCGGGGTGCGGGTTCATGAATGGAAAGAGCTTTGGTTTGGTTTATGGGGTTCCTAGTTCCTCTTTTCTCCTATTAAAAATGTATGGGCGTTATGGCGAAAATACTTAAAAATTTAAGCAAGGAGTGGTTGAAAAATTGTAGAGCACCCAGCTATGGGTTGTAGTTTGTGGTCCATGAAAAGATCTCGAAGGAAAGATGCATGATGAAAATACCCAAATTCAATAATCGGTTAGGTACATTTACATAGTTTCTTAATTTTCGCCTTGAGCCTACAGATTTCCTGGTTGTGTAATCAGAGCTTACTTGGCAGTTTATCATTGATTAAGCCTGAATTTTGTTTCCCCCAATGTAGTAATTTCTTAAAAAAAAAAATTTTTTTTGGTTTGGTTTTTTTAAAATTAGGAATCCAGGGACTGGAGCCACCTCAGTCTATTTGCCACCACATGGGACTGATTTTCACTTGCATGTTTCACATGGGTCCCAAGCAGGATCTCAAGTCAACCCCTCACACCCCATTTCTCCAGCTTAACTCTGGCTTGCAGTAAAATACTCAATTTTCAGTTCCTTCTGAAAATCTCAAATGCCAATTTCCTCTCCCTAATTTACATTATTTATTATTTGTCCTTTAGTGTACATTTTTGATACTGTATTTTAATTAATCATTTTTTGACAAAGCATTAGATGGCATATTGAAAAAGATATGTTTTCTGTTTGTAAATATTTCCCATGAGAAGAAAGCAAAGAATATCCCCTGATAGTGAATTGTAAAAATCTCTGTGCCTCTTTTGCTTTTGTCTTCCCTAGGCACAAAGATCTTATGAGAATGTTTTAGTGTCAAGATATTTTTATTTTGCAAACGTTATGGGGTGATTCGTCCTCAGCAACCCTGTCGTTTTTTCTTGGTCCTGGTGGTACTGTCTGTGAATAAACCAAGATAACCTCTAGGGCTGTGTCTGCTACAGTATCTAGTAAATATCAGCTCCTATGTCATTTTCTTTCATAGGACATCCTGAGGTAGGGAGTGTAGCCTCTCAAGGGAGCAAGAGAATACCCTGGGGAAAAGATGAATCTCTTGGCGTACTCTTCCTTTGACAAGCTAACCCCCTGAGACATTAAAATTGTCTTCACCCAACCCAGCTTCCATTTCTTGGAGACAGATTGCTGGTCCACCAATCACATGCTGGTATTGAGGGGAAAACAGAAATAATTTCTGCCTCCTAAATGCTGTAAGATTTGTGAAAGACAAAATAGTATCCCAGAAGAAAGAAAAAACCTGACTTCAGTGAGATGGTACAAAAACTTGCAAAGTAAAATACACTTGGAGCACTCACTTGAGCATAGTGCAGTATCTCCTCAGAGAGTGGTCACTGAGCACTTAAGTGGGCAGGATGGAGTGGGAGAATCTCTCAAGTGATTGGATGATCTGAATTCACACTTGAGTCATACAAATCTCCTTTTTCTTTTGTTTTGTTTTGTTTTTTGATGGAGTCTGTCACTCAGGCTGGAGTGCAATGGTGCAATCTGGGCTCACTGCAACCTCTCCCATGTTCAAGCGATTCTCCTGCCTCAGCCTCCCGAGTAGCTGGGACTACAGGTGTGCACCACCACACCCAGCTATTTTTTTTTTTTTTTTGTATTTTTAGTAGAGAAGGGGTTTCACCATGTTGGCCAGGCTGGTCTTGAGCTCCTGACCTTGTGATCCACCCGCCTTGGCCTCCCAAAGTGCTGGAATTACAGTCTGAGCCACTGCGTCCAGACTACACATCTGTTTTCTAATCAGCGCTGCTACTCCCTGGATTTGTCACCTGGAAAAGATTTGTTCACTTTTATTGACTTTAGTTTTTTAACTGTAAATTGCATTTTATTAGTAGAGTTTAAAAGGTAAGAAAATACTTATAATATTTACAAAGGGCATAAAAGTTGTGCATTTCAGAAAAAAATTAATTATGTATTCCACTTGTTAAAAATTGTTTACCTTTTTCCTTCCCAAAGTGAGTTTAGGAATTTTTTCAGATGGATTTTTTATGACTGAGTGATTTCAAGCAGAATTCCAAGACTTCACTTTTAAAATGCTATCAAGAAAAACAATAGGGAAAATCTCTCCTGCATTTTGGCTGTAGAAAATGAATACATTTCTGGCCAGGCGCGGTAGCTCATGCCTGTAATCCTAGCACTTTGGGAGGCTGAGGCTGGTGGATCACCTGAGGTCGGGAGTTCAAGACCAGCCTGGCTAACGTGGTGAAACCCCATCTCTACTAAAAATACAAAAATTAGTCGGGCATGGTGGTGGGCATCTATAATACCAGCTACTGGGGAGGCTGCGGCAGGAGAATCACTTGAACCCAGGGGGTGGAGGTTGCAGTGAGCCGAGATTGTGCCACTTCATTCCTGCATGGGTGAAAGAGTGAAACTCTGTCTCAAAAAAAAAAAAAAATGCATTTCCACAAGAAAATGTGGTAGATAATTGGTGAGTTAGGTAGATTCATAAAGTATCACTTCCTTTTATTGCAGGGTAAATTTGTGACAGTGAATATCTCTGTTCTGTATCCAATTATCTTGACTTCTGAGTTTCATGCTAAATTTTATGAGATAAAACTTGGTACCTCCTAGAAATGTTCCCATATGACTAATTGTTTACTACATGATTTTTAATGGAAATAATACAGTAAGACATGCATTATCTGAAAGGAATTGATACTTTTGCTTTTCTCATTGAGGTATAAAATGTAAGCACCTTATAATTTCATCCCCTTATATGAACATGATGTTTGAGTAATGTTGCTGAATTTTTCACACATATAGTTTCAAAAACCAAGTTGGTAACTGACATTGGAAATCAAAACATGAGCCTAGTGACTTCAAGCTAAGGCTAATACTGAGCCTGCAAAAGAAGGTTATTAATGGCCCAATTAGCTTTTTTCTGAAGAGCCTCTCTTGCAGATGTCCCAGCCTGCTCACCCCAGCCATGGAAGAAATCTTTATAGTGAGAGAAGCTACAGAGCCCTGGAAAGCTGGGGACCCACAGGCAGATGCAGTTAAGGTTCAGAAGGAAAAGAACTGGCAGGATTTTTGTGAAGATGAAGTGGTTATTGTTTGAAGCGGTTTCTAGACTATTTAAAATAAACCAAAGTAAGATTAATATAAAAAATTCCAAAGAAGTATTGTAACAGAAGAGAATACCTACTATAATATCTTTAAAAATTGCAAGTTCAGGCAGACAAGGGCTTCCTTTTATAGGAAGGACCAAACAATATTAGAATGAAGGTAGGAGGGAAATGGCAAATGAAGGGTGAAAAAATTAGATTCTAGATTAATGTTTTACTCTGAAGTCATCATATCCTTAGGAAGGACATAAAATGGGGCTGTATTTTGACACAGATTGAGTGTAGCTGAATGTTAAAGAGGCTCTGGGGGAGGAGATAAACTTTAAGTGAAGTTTGATTAAAAAGTTTGGTTAAAAAATTATTTTGACCACTGAAGAAAATTTCAGCTGATTATTTTTTTGAGATGGAGTCTCGCTCTGTCACCCAGGCTGCGGTGCAGTGGTGCGATCTCCACTCACTGCAACCTCCGCCTCCTGGGTGCAAGCAATTCTCCTGCCTCAGCCTCCTGAGAGGCTAGGATTACAGGTGCCCACCACCATGCCCGCCTAACTTTTTTTTGTATTTTTAATAGAGACGAGATTTCACTATGTTGGCTAGGCTGGTCTCGAACTCTTGACCTCAGGTGATCCACCCGCCTCAGCCTCCCAAAGTGCTGGGATTACAGGCATGAGCCACCGCTTCCAGCCAGCTGATTTTTTTTAAAATGAGAACAAGAAGAAAATGTGCAGTCTGCGTCTGGCTATGTGATAGATGAGAAAAAAGAGCACCAACTAAGCCATAATAGAAAGCGTGTTTCTTTCCATAAACTGTTTCTGGAGAACACAAAGGATAGAGAATTTTATTAATCACAGCTATTTACCAGGATTATCGAAGTGCTTCATCTTTCCCCATTTTTTTCTTTGTTCTATACATTTCTTACATTTAACTTTTTGGGATTGTATTTTTTATAAGCTGGTAAATGTAACTGTCAGCTTTTTGCTGAGTTCTGTGAGTAGCTCTATCATATTATGAAACTCAAGGGAGGTTATGGGAGTCCATAATTTTTCAACAGTAGCTTAGAAGCATAGATGGGCCTATGGGGTTTGTGACAGGCATCTGCCATTAGGACAATGTTGTGAAAATGAGCCCTGAATCAAGGTCTGTGCTGACTCTGAGTGTTGTCAGAATTCAAATTCAAATGTTAGACAATGAGTTGGTGTTGGAGAATGGCTTGGTGCTCAACAAACTCTACAGATTTGGTACAAGAAAAAAGATATCACAGAGACCTGGCCTGGAATAAAACTCTGGTTTGTCTGGGAATGGGAAGCTCTGCTGTCCTGTACACAGACTGTCACACTGCCCATTGTCCTGTGATTCCTGGTCTCCCAGAGGGAGAGAGGATCCAAACTTAGAGGAAAGAAACTCTGACAGCAAACCCCTTTTCCTACAGCTGTCACCACAGGATTCCCACTCACTCACAAGCAAACCCACTAGATATTAATGTGTCCAGACCTCTCCCAGGAGTAGGCACCACCCTGAGAAATTTTACAACAGCATTTTTGATTCTAGTGTTTCTTGACAAAAACCTACA